ATGCACTGTTCACAATATCTTCCTAATAATGAAATTCACATTCAGCTGTTAAGTCTTATCTTAGTATTTTTTTCTTGACTATGTAGGGTTTTTACAGGTTAGTCTGATGGGTATATGTCTTTGATTCTGGAGTAAAAAGAAATGGAAAAAAAAAAAGAGATTCCTGTTCATATTTTTTGTGGCAATCAGTCTTTCCTAGCCTTAGTAAATTTGGAAGAAGTTGAAAATCTAGATCAAACTAACTAGATGTCTTGCCTATTTTAAAGCAATACTTAATTGTCTTTAAACTCAAGTAAGGACAGCATGGAGGAACCTTTAAATACAGGTTCAGTCTTTATCTCTTTAAACTTCTTACTTTTGACTTCTGACTCTTTGATTTGGCATGTATTAAAATAATCACATTTAATAAGTTTTAAAATAGAATTCTAAAATGTGTGTTTAATTAACTTTTACTTTGCAGATGATACATTAATTTGTGGGAAAGTACTAGTTTTGGGATTGGGAATTTTGCCCTACAATTCCTCTATGAGATCTTCCAAGATTTTTTTATTTAATTATTTTTTTCCCTAGTTTTAAGTGTGCTCATTTTAATGAGTCTGTAATTCTCCCCCATTTTCTTGTATTTACTGATTTATTTCTGCATGAGATTGACTTCTTTGGTTAATAGATAGTTTAATATTTTATAAACATTGCAACTTACCTGAAATCATAGTCAATGTAACAGGTCTGACTCTGCAAATATTTGACAACTTCACCCATCTTATTCATACTGAATTGTCTGTACTACAAATTTAGAAAAATAGAATTAAAACTGGGACTGCTCCTTTTTAGAAATATATTTCATCTTAGTAGAAAATGAGGTTTTCAAGTTTTTTACAATACATTTATAATGTTTGGAGATAATTTTACTTTTAAAATCATGTGTTAACTCCAATTTTGTTTCCAGGCTATAATCTAGCAATTAATGACTTTGAGGTTTTGCTACTATATAACTCCACTCAGGAGCGAAAGTTCTTATATTGCACTTAACTTTTTTTATTTATTTTGTGTGTGTGTGTTTTGAATAATACAAGTTATGATTGAAATATAATCTCTTAGAAATTCATATTGTTAATGAAATGCACTTAAAGTGATTCATAATAGGTTAGAAGCCACCTGGAGGAAAATATATTTAAGGCTACATACTGAACTTAATTGGAAAGTAATTGGGTTTTGTTTGTCAGTCTTTTGGGATTGACAAAAGTTTTTCCCTTTCGGCAAAACAGAAATACTTCACATTCCATATATTTTCTGATTAGATTATAGGTTTATTAATATGTGACAAATGTTATATAAATGCATATATTATAAATATAGCAGTAGTAATAGATTTAAAATATAGACAAAATGCAGCATTTGAAAGATATAATTACGGTTATTTCTAAGCCCAGACAGGCTTATGTCAGATCATTAATGAAATACATTTAGAACATTCAGATAAAAGTTAATGTTTGCAATTACACTTTTTCTTCAGCTTTATTACAAAATGACAGATTGTCATTTTGGAAGCACTTGTAAATGTTAAGATATTTAAAATAATGATATGGTAACTGATACAAAGACGATTAACTATACTTTTGTCATTTTGTCTGAAAGACAGAATCACCCTCACACTGAGCTAAAAATTTTATGTCTTGGAAGCATTTGCATCTAACTTCTGTATATATTTCTACAGCTTATGTTTAAAAAACATGGAAAAGTTATGGGCATGTTTTCAATAAAAAGCAGATATGAAAATGGTATTTGAATGGTCTAGAGTAAATTTTGTAGTAATGCTGAATTTCTTAGTGTGATTAAAACATAGCTATAAACTCAATGTGTTTGTTATCATCTGTATAGAACAGTTTTTGGTAAATAAATGGTGAAGACTGAAACATATCATGCCTATTGCACACTACAACACTGCTCTAACAGAAAATAATGCTGCAAAGGAATAAACTGCATGTAGACCATGTGTATCTTTTATTGTTGCTTAATAATTTGTGTTTTGGTTGTACTAGTTACTGCTTTGCTGCCACTAGTTGAAAATTATTACACATTTGAGTGAATCTAGCTCATGACATTAAGGTTGTAATAAGTCTTGAAGACTGGCCTATTTAGTCCAGTACAGAGCTAATTTTCTTTGTAGTAGGTAGGAGAGTGCTGTGGTTTGGATTTAGCGTGGGATTCAGTACAAGAAGAGTGTGGATGGTAACACTGATCTTTTTAGTTGCTGCTCAGATGCCCAGGGCTTTGCTAGTGTGCAGGTGTGTAAGAAGCTGGGAGGGGGCATAGCCAGAGGAACAGGCCCAAACTGCCCAGTGGGTTGTTGCATATCATGCAGCATTGTGCTCAGAATATAGCTGAGCATTGGCTGGCGGCTTTTTCTCTCTTCTGGGATTTCTCTCCTCTGGGATCACTGTCCAGGGATGGGCTGGGCATTGGTCAGCAGGTGGTGAGCAGTTGCACTGTGCATCACTCGTTTGTATGTTCTATTTTTGTTTGTTCATTTGTTTGTTTTTATTTTATTTCAGTTATTAAATTGTCTTTATATCAATCCACAAGTCTCTTTACCTTCACCTTTCCAGTTCTCTTCCCCACTCCCCAGGGAGGCAGGGGAGACTTAACTGAGCGGCTGCGTGGCATTTAGCAGCCTGCTGGGTTAAAACCACGACAAAGACACAACATCCTCAGTTCGCATTTTCACTGGACAGTCAAATTAAATGCAGAGTTTTGGTAAGATCTCTGATCCTAGCAAGATTGAATATTCACACTGTGCTATTTTGGTATAAATAGTTAGGAAAACAGAAATTTAATTCAAATAAAAATGAAAATTATGAATAATTCAAGTTATATCTAAGGGAAAATTGCAGGAAACTTGAAACCAAGTTCTGGGGAAAAATAAGGAAAATATTATCGTATTGAAAAGAAAACCCAGTGGAATTTAAATGCATCCTGAATCTATAGTATTTTTAATCTATTTTGTCGTTCTCCTATTATGTTAAATCTAGAAGTATTAAATTTTTACTTTTTTTTTTTCATTTTTACTTTTTTCTCTATTATTGACAGGTTGATGTGTTTCCTGATTGTGAACTACTTATAGAGTCAAATGATGCTATATAAAAAGTCCTTTCTTTCATGTATCAAAAATTACGTACCACAATTACACAAAAAGAGTATTTTTCCAAGAATCTCTTTTTTTACTTACATGCAATAGCTTTTTTCTTTCATGTATCTGAGAGCAAGAAATATCCTATTCAGTTAAACATCAGGCAAAGAAAAGCAGTATAATATTCCAGGTTTACTATTTAATTAACTAGTGATTGTTAGTCCAAGGAATTTGTTTTCTGTAATTTATTTGAATTACATTGATTATTATTTCTTTGCAATATTAACAGTTTATCTCCAAAACATAGATGCCTTTATCAAGTGTTGGTGTGTGGTACTGAATGAAAAATATTGTAAGAAGTGGACGCTTATCTGAGGTCACAAGTGCAATGAGTTCTGCTATTTCCTGGTAATTCTGAAGATCTTAAAGCACTATGGAATAGCTACCATTTAAAGAATCTCTGAAGAAGGAAGTAATTGTTTAGTATACCTGAAGAGCAGTTTCAAAACTGTCATAAGTTAATGATGTATGGCTAATATATTTTTAATAAAGTAATAATGTGGGTTTTTTTTCTGTTTTGTATGTGATACAGCTTCAATGGCTTTTAGACAACTATGAAACTGCAGAAGGAGTGAGTCTCCCCAGAAGTACCCTTTACAACCATTACTTACGTCATTGTCAGGAGCACAAGCTAGATCCAGTCAATGCTGCCTCCTTTGGAAAACTCATACGGTCAATCTTCATGGGATTACGGACCAGAAGACTTGGAACTAGGTTTGTGTTAATGAAATCCTGAACTATATTAGAAAATGCAAGTAAAAATTATGAGGAAGAAACTTGTCTCCTAGTAAAAATTAAATAAAATCTGTACCTAAGTATTACAGTGGGTTTCTGTCAGTTCTGTCAGTTTTATACTCTTCTAGATGTTGCTATACTGTTACTTACCCTGGTTTTGACTGTTATGTGTTTACATTTTTATAAATACACTGCAGATTTCTATCAGTACAAATAAAATGTAGCTTGCTGTTTGGAAATCACTAAGAATTGTGTTTCTTCATAACTAGATAAGTTGTATTTATTTGTATTTTATCTTTCTTGCTCAAATGGATTACAGATTATAATGCTGGATAATACTTGTTTAAGACAGTGAATTAAGTTCCTAAAGGTGGTAAAATGACACCCATGTAAAGCAAGTAACGAAAGGAGAGTTCAGCTCAATTTGTGGGTGTTATTTTCCAGACAATGAAAATTGTAAACTAAATGTAATTTAGATGCATGAAACTAGTGTTACTGTTCTTTTAATTTTTGTCCTTTCATAAAGGGGAAACTCCAAATATCATTACTATGGGATTCGTGTCAAGCCAGACTCTCCTCTTAATCGCTTACAAGAGGACATGCAATATATGGCTATGAGACAGCAGCCCATGCAGCAGAAACAGAGGTAAAGTGTGAAATGAACATCAGTATTTATTAATCTTTCTAGTGCATAAATCCTTACTTTTCCTTACATGGAAAAGTTGAAATTCTAATACAGCTTTTGTTCACTTTCCCTGCTGTGGAAAATAACACTGGAGTTAGGTATCAGTCAACACAAAAGCACTTATACCTAGAAATTGTCTTAAGTTTGCAAAAAGTAACATCAATAAAGTAAGATATGATATAAACAGATGCAGGGCACTGGATAATTATGCTGAATAGGTAGATGTTATGAAAAATACTGTCCTGTAGTAGAAAAGTTCCTTATGCATTATCTTCAGTTGAGGATAGAAATAAGGCAGAGGAGAACAGGAGAGAAGTGGAAGCCTGTATCAGCTATCTGCAAAACTGACAGTACAAAAGACCAGCATGGGATTATATATCTTAATAATAGCAATGCCTTTGTTATTAAATCCTTGGCAGCAGCTATTTAAAGATACCTTCCTAGATGAGGATTTTTCTCTTTGCTCAGGAACTTTCATTTTTTACCTTCTTGTCTTTTAAGACAAAAGACAGACTGATCTTTTTAAACTCTTGGAATCTTGCAATGTCCAGTTGGGTACTCTAGAAATAGAAGCGTTTTTCACATAGTCTTACAGGTGCACTATTCATACAGTGTAATTCTGAGGAACTTTTTTCATCATGTATTTCAGGATGCATAGATATCAGTGAAACATCTTCTGTCTTTCCAAAATCCCAGCATGCCAAATAAATAGAAAGCAGAGATCAAGGAGCTAGCCAGAATTTGACAGTTGCACTATGAAAAATTTGTATTGCCTCTGCTCTGTATACTGTCAAGCATGTGAGCAATACTGATTATTTCAGAATTAAGATATTTATGCTATAAAAAATAGGAAATTTTCATTGAAAAATGGAAACTGATGAACCACTATTACTTTAACTTATTTATTCATAATTATCTAAACCAGAAAACTAAAAAAAAATTCTAATAGAAATAGGAATTTTTAAAGTCAAGTGTGATGATTCCAGAAGATTTTTGTCTCATTGGAATACGCTGATTGCAAGTAATTTTAGAAGAATACTTTATATTACATTATTGCACAATCTATCCTGTTTACTTCATTACAGCCACTCTAGCATGCAACAATCATGAGCTTTTGGTCCATTCTTATCTCCTTTTTAGCCTTAGTTTTTAATTTTACAGTAGCCTTTGCTCATAAAATGTCAAGGATAATTACACATTCTTGAAATAAAAATGTCTCTGTATTTTGCTTGATTCATACTAATGGAAACAGATATGGTTGTGTTTTGGAACCCAAAGAAGCTAGAGTTTTTGAAGGAAAAAAAATGCTAAATATAAAATCTGCTTGACGTGAAACTTGCAGTGCACAACTTAAAAAGTGAACTTGTATTTTTTAAGTAAAATTTCTTCCACATTGCCAGAACCTGCTTAGTATCTAATTTCAATGTTAGATATATGTATGTAGGTTTGTATTTTTGTCATAGTTATCTTAGTGTATTGGAGAATTCTAAAAGGGTTTATTAAGAGAGAGCTAAAAAACTGAATATTGTAATTTGCATGATAAGCATAACAAGGCTTTTTTTCCAGCTTTGTTAATATTTCTAATGTTCTTTTTGTCCTTTAAATCAGTGGTAAGTTGCAGGCAATAATCTTTTTCTGTGTAGTTACATCAATTCTGCCACCTCTATGAGACACATCTGATTGGATAAACATGTCTGGTTCTGTTTGGAAAAAAGTGTAGACTGAATGTATGGTACAGATAATTTTTCTTCATTCCTTTTCTTGATTTGAGGGTTATGCATCTTTTCTGTTTTCGTAACTGGAATATCCTGAAGTGCTCTTTTATGTTCATATTCAGGATTCTGAGTTTGAACTCAGGGGTTTGAGATTTCTTAGACATAAATTTCAGATGAAAGGTAATTCTGTTAGTTGCTAAGTCTTGGTTGTGATAGGTTTTTTGTTTCAGTAAGAAGGAAAAACAGTGAAAATACAGATCACAGATGCTAGCAGTCCTATCTTCCAGCTGAGGCAGTGTTTTGGCAACAACCACAACATGTTAAGAGACTTAAAGCACCTTTAAACTGAAGAAATGTACAGTTAACAACTGGTCTTGACTGGAAGATATTAGCTGACACCCTGCCTTTCAGCGGACTGCTGCATGGCTCAGACTTGCAAAGGAAGCCCTGGCTTACCTCTGTCATTCTGCTTCTAGAAGGAAACAGGGTATTTAAATTGTTATGTTCTGAGCCAAAAACAGTGGATGGAAATCAGACAAAGATTGTTAGGAAAAAATAAAGTAATATCCAAAGCAAATATTACACCATATGTCTTTTGCCATATGCACAGTTTTAACTCTGGTGCTAAACACTTTCCACTTTAAGGTATGATCTTATTATGAAATCTCTTTCACATAAGTATCTGTTGTCAGGCCATTTGAAGCAAATATATAAAAAATACCATTGATAAAGATAAGTTCCATTTTTAGCCTGGTTTTATTTAGCTCTTCATGAGTAGAAGCTTATGGCTGAGAACCTGAATTACCTTTATGGCTTCATCTAGGGAAATTGATACAGGTAAGTTTGTCTTTTCTTAGTGTGCTCATAACAGTATATGTTTTAAATTCTGTTTCCAAAAGTAAACCTCCAGCTTTCCAAGTTAATTTCAAATATCTCTGTCAGTTCTTACACACAATGATTATACCTTTTTGCCTGGCATATTTTATAAAAAACAGTGAGTTAAGTATGTGCATAATCGTGGAGTCTCCTTCACTGGAGACATTCAAAACCCACCTGAATGCGTTCCTATGTGATGTACTCTAGGTGACCCTGCTCTGGCAGGGGGGGTTGGACTAGATGATCTTTCAAGGTCCCTTCCAACCCCTAGGCTTCTATGATTCTATGATAATCCTAGCACCAAAATACGAGGTTGGTTTTATGCTTTAATTACAAGTTGCTTTTTTATAACTGAAAAACTCCTAGAGGAGTTTTATTCACAGAATCACAGAATCTTAGGGGTTGGAAAGATCATCAAGTCCAACCCCCCTGCCAGAGCAGGATCAACCGGAGCACATCACACAGGAACGTGTCCAGGCGGGTTTTGAATGTTTCCAATGAAGGAGATTCCACAACCTCTCTGGGCAGCCTGTTCCAAGGCTCTGTCACTCTCACAGTAAATAAGTTTTTTCTGATGTTTACATGGAACCTCCTGTGCTCCAGTTTGCACCCATTGCCCCTTGTCCTATCACTGGACATCACTAAAAAAAGCCTGGCTCCCTCCTCCTGACACTCGCCCTTAACATATTAGTAAACATTGATGAGGTTGCCCCTCAGTCTTCTCCAAGCTAAAGAGACCCAGCTCCCTCAGCCTTTCCTCATCAGGGAGATGTTCTATTCCCTTCATCATCTTTGTGGCTCTGTGCTGGACTCTTTCAAGCAGTTCCCTGTCCTTCTTGAACTGAGGGGCCCAGAATTGGACACAATATTCCAGATGTGGCATCACCAAGGCAGAATAGAGAGGGAGGAGAACCTCTCTTGACCTACTAACCACAGCCTTTCTAATACACCCCATATTTGTATGTATTCTAAACATTCAGGAGCTGAAGTGTCAATAAAATATTCTGCAGAAAGTAATGGAACTGTCTTAAAGTATAGGTTCAGATTTACAGATATTTCTAGAAGTTGAGCTTCTGCCTAGTATTTGTAATAGTGTCACGGTTTAACTCGGGATTGGCAATTAAACCAATGACAACAATGTTCTCTATCCCCTCTCCCTCTCACCCAGACAGGGAAAGGAGAGAGAGATTAAGAAGAGAGGATTCTGGATTTAATACTAAACCAGACAAGTTTAATTAAACACTACTGATGAAATAAAATACGTAAAAATATATACAAATATGTGCAGGAATGTGCAAAACCCCTATCACCTCCCCCTATCCCCAGCATCTCCCAGGGCACTTCCCTGAGTTACAGAGAGTCCCAAGAAGGCCCCAGACCACCTCCAGAGATAGCAGCAGAGCAGACAGGAGCTGAGGGTAGAGATAGGAGGGTCAAGAATTCACAGGCGTAGAGATCAAGGGAGATGGATAGATGGAGTCCTCCCTGGACGCCGGCCATGGAGAAAAAGGTGTTTGACTTTTGTGATCCCTGAACTTATACTGAGAGGGATGTATATATGGGATGGAATCACTTGTTTGGCCAATTTTGCCATCTGTCTAGTCTGCTTCTCCCTTCAGAAGGGTTGTAGATATGACTCTTCTGCTCCTTTGATGTCCGAAGCAGCAGAGAAAAGTGTCCCTGGTCTCTCAGCGAGTTTCAGCAAGTGTACTCCTTAAAAGAGAGTTCACTGAAGAAAAGAAAAAGTCAGTAAAAAGAAAAATAGATTGATCCAGGACAAATTATAATGAGGAAGAAGTAAATAATTCTTCCCTGATTGACTGCCTGGACTGCAGGTAGATTTAACAAGTAATGGCAAGCTGATCTGGAGGAGTTCAGTGCTACCGTGATACCAGAGATGAAATTTTATTCTTTATTAGAATTGATTAGAACTTCACTAATAAGATTTTACTTTGGACAATTACTGAAAATGAAACTTGATATAAATACCCTAGAGATGGGATAGGTGTTTGCTTTTTTCCCAAGCACTGAAATTCCTGAGATTATTAAATTATTTGTTAACCAGCCTGGAATTCTTTCTATTGAAATGTATGCTTTCTCTCTGTCTATTCTTATTAT